TTATTAAAAAGAAATTGGAAATTTTGATGTCGTTACTATGTTGTATTTTATTTAACTTGAAAACTGTTTTTTTTTTTTTTTCCCAAGTTTTATATAAGGAGAAATCAGTTTTTGATATATTTAAAGTAGATAACCTAAAGTTGAAATATACAAGGTAGAAATTTTAGAAAATAAGAATTGACAGTAGGCAAAAATACTTGCAACTTTAATTTCTTCAATATTGATTAATTTAGTATTTTTAAATGTGCATTCTTTCAAAATATAAGAGAGATAGATTATTTGTCAAAAGGACAGTTTTTCCACTGGCAGCACTGTTATTTAACTACCTTCACTCCTCAGCAATGTGTATTGTTTTAAAAAGTGATGATTAGAATTTTGTTGTCAATTATCAAGAACAAAATATGTATAAATTCACTTTCATCATATATTATGGTTTTTATCTCTCTTTTTAAAAGAATAAATATTGCTGTAGAGTGAAGGTAGTTAAAATAATAGCAGTGTCAAGGGAAAAAAATGCTCTTTTGACACTTAGCAATAAAACAAAGCTTAACAAAAGTGTATGGAACTTAGAAAACACAAGGGGAAAGGATGCCTTTGTTTGTTAGAGGAATAGATGTGAAAATGGGCTAAAACTTAATCCTTTATATATATATATATATATATATATTGATCTGGGAGATGTCATGCACAGACAGACTGTTTTGCTGTATCAAAGTTCCTCAGTGTGGCTAGATGTCAGATTGCTTCAAACCATGATCGATTTGACATCCTACCCCTAGGCTATCGTCACATGGCAGAGAGAAAGGGAAATTTTAACGTTTTCTATATGGAATATGTCAGTGGCCCAGAGAACTCAATTCGTACTTGAAGAGTAATGTATTAATAGAAGTAGGAAACACTGTTTTTTATATATATATATTATATATATATATATATATATATATATATATATATAATATTATTATTATTAATAGAGATCTTATAAGAAACTATACTCGCCCAGAAAACCTTTGGTGTGTTGATTTGCAAATAAACAAGCCAATACCAAAGGGAAAAAAAAAAGGAAAAAAAAAAAAAAAAAGAAAGAACCAAGAACATGTACGTTAACCGAAAATAATCGTCCAGCATACAAGTCCAAGGCCCAAAAAAAAAAAACCTGATGCGGGTACCCAAAATAACTAAAAGTGCTCAATACAATGAGTAGAGCAGACCTAGTTAAACCTAGAGATCCAGACAAACCTACCAAGGTTTCACCTAAGCAGATCATCAGGAAAGCTTTCCTGACGATCTGCTTAGGTGAAACTCTATAAGTTTAATAATATATATATATATATATATATATATATATATATATATATATATATATATATATATATATATATATATATATATATATATATATATATATATATATATATAAATATATATATATATATATTATATATCATATATATAATTTTAAATAAAGCATTTTGTATCAATTAATTTTATTGATTGATTTTTCCAAATTACAAATACTCCTTCGCAGACAAAAAGGAAATTTTGGAAGAGATCTGGTCCCAACTTTTGGCTTTCTTAATTCATTATCATGGTAGGTCGACAAATTGTGAGTTTTGTAGAACTAGTGACATGGATGAGGTATGATGTGTTTGTATTTATTTTTTTTTTCTTTTGTCTTTAATAATATTTGCCTTAAAGAACATTTGCTGCCTAAAAACATAACATGGCTTGAAGATTGCATTGAAGCATGAAACAGACTGTCAATGTTGAGTATTAATCTGAATGTCCACGTTTATATTTACATATGCTCTATCCCTGATATTGAGCAATTTAACCCATCAATACAACATACTTTAAAATTATATATATCATATATACAGGGTGTGATGAGTAAAATTGTTGCAATTTTATATTTTTAATTTTGTGCATGCACATTGTTTGTTTTTGATTTTGTTGACTGCACAGTAGTAGGGTCAGTTGAGCACTGTCTGTTTAAAAAAAAAAAAAAAAAAAGATAAAATAAAATCACCATGATGCAATTCACTCTGCCAGAAATTTGGAAACAGCATGCTGCACTGCTTGGCATTCATGCCGGAAGCTCCAATATGAACATTTCAGTGTGTTTACATGTTAATCTGAGAACAGTGCAGAGGATTCAGAAAGAGTTGAATGAGTCTAATAGTGATTACTAAGGTATGGCAGCTCAGAAAACTCACTCTGATTGTTCTCAAATATTTTTTGGTGAGGGCCTCAGACTCAACACAGAGGCCAACATCAAGTGTCCTGGGTCAAGAGGGTGGCTGCTGGAAGACCCTATGTCTGGTAACAGAACTTTGCATTATGCTACACAAGCAAGAGAACACAGTCATGGCTGTCAGACAATTTCTGCTATCACATCACCCCTTACATTTGACTACCTAACTCACCAGACAGCAATCATCCTGATTATTATGTGTGGAACATAGTTGGGCAAGAGACCAACAAAACCCTTTATAAACTAAAGATGAACTGAAGGTAACAATTATGGCAGCATTCACCAACTTAAACAAGGAGATTGTCTAGAAGAGTTGCAGGAGATTCTGAAGTCATCTGGAGGCAGTGGTTAAAACCACTGGCAGTTTTATTGAATAAATTTACTCTTTAATATTTCAAGATATTTTTGTGTAATTTTGGCAAATATATCTGTTAAAATGGGATATCAGTGTTATTTTCATTTTTGCATAATGTAGACGACAATTTATTCATCTCCCTCCCTCTCTCTCTCTCTCTGTGTCTTTAAAGCCCCCTGTGGAGCATAGTTAAAGCTGCACCATACTAAGTGTTAGTACTGTGGTTTCTATGGGGTCCTAACTGATTTAGAATTGTCCTTTTGTAGACTGATTGCTAACCAAAGCTAGAGAACCCAGTCTGCCTTGCTATTTAACCCATAGCTAGGGGGAGAAGAGATGGATTCATTACTTTCTCAAGGATATTTGTGCAAAAGTGTGCACAACAAACATACCCAGAATTTGAACTTGGCATGTTGATTCCATTTTCTACAGTGATAACCACTATGCTATACAACCTCTCTCTCTCTCTCTCTCTCTCTCTATATATATATATATATATATATATATATATATATATATATATATATATATATGCCCTTTTTGGGCACTTTTTGCCTCCACTCACATACCTGTGTTTAGTTACAAATGAATCCCAAGTTTGTGTCATGTTTGACCTTGTGAAGATGCAGATAAACTTTTGTTTATCTCTTTTGTAAGACCAATGACTTGAACCTACTGGCCAGATTGCATGTGATGAAGATATTATTTACTTTCATTGTTTCTATGCTTGTTTTAATTCACATTATTATTATTATTATCAATCTTGCTCTTGTCATTCATGGCTTGATGGCTGATAACTCTTGTTTATCAAGATAATTGAGTTCATTCTAGATCTTTGCATTTAGTGAATAAAACTGAAGTGACTGTAAAATGGCTTTAGATACTTTTTATTTCTATAACAATTGTAAATTTTTAAATTTACATTAAGTTCTCTGATTATGGCTGTTATTACTTCATGATTAAAAGCAGCAGCACCACCAATATGTGTCAAAACACTGATTCTCACAAGACCACCAAAGTTAAGCAGTGTCAAGCCTGGTCAGTACCTACATACATGGGTGACTGCTTGCGAATATGAGATGCTATAAGCTTTGATGAGTGTGGGGTGAAATGGATGGTGGCTCAGAATTAGAAATTGGAGAGCTAAGTGATAATTCCAGTCAAGTTCTTTATATTCACTTCTGTGCAAATACCTTGGAAAAGATATGAATCAGCCTCTTCTCCCCATAACTAGTAGGACTTGTGTCAGTAAATAATTATTATCCACCCCCTCCAAATTATTACAATCTAAAAAATATTTTCTGACTATAAAAGGTTGATAAGCTGTAAAACACAAATCCATCAATATAAAAATAATAAAATCTTTCTGTTATGTTTTGATTTAAGTTGTATTTTTATAATCTAAAATAAATCCTTCACAAAAGAAAATTTTACATTTTGACTTGCATCTGTGTGATAGTCTGGCAAAATGACATCTGTCATGTATCATTGAATTTGTTCATGTGGAAAATTTTACACCCATTCATGTTGATTGATGCTTGATGAACATTTATAGACCAAACATTGTGTGCACATTTAGGTTATGGGTTATGCGCTCTAGTAGTGATGACTATGATCTGTATATTGAGCCATGTTTGGCTGGTCATGTACAGCTGTCGGTATCTGAAAATCTCTTGTTCATTACTGGTGAAAATGCATAGCTAATAGTGACTATGTAGAAAAACTGTTTTTTGTTGATAAGCTTTATTTGCAAATACATGTTAATAATTATTACTTAAATTTGGTATTTTGTTTTATAACAAATATAATAGCATGCACTTACCACAAAATGCCTTTGTATAAAATTTAAAACAACTTCAACCCTGTGTATATCCAGGGTGCAGTAAAAATTAAAGGTTGACAAGGTAACTGCTATTAAGAAAATTATTTCACTGTTCCCTGCCAACTATTTTGGGAAAAATGTTTCATTTTCAGGCAAATTTTCTTATTTGTTTTTAATATAGTAACTAGGAAACTGAGGCACCTCGAAGTATCCGAGCAGTGACTAATACCTTTACCAGATGTACGAGTTGAAAATTGAACTCATTTCAAGCTCAGAAGGGCATAAAAAGAATCAAGATCAACTTATAAACACATCTGTAGCTGGTTTTTGAACATTGTTTTGGAAGTGTTTATTCATCTGTATCTGAAAAAATGCTTTCGGTAAAAATGTATTTACACATCTACGCTGGGGATGGCATTAAACAGAGTGCTACTGTTTTTATTCATCTGTTTTCGAAAATGACATCTTCTAAGTGGTGGCCTCTATTTGCCATACACTGTTCTAGATGATTTTTAAATTTTTTTTTTTTTTTTTTTTTTAAACACAATTTTCAGTTTACAGTCACATCCTGTAGAAAAACTGGTTCTCATATGATCACTAAAGTTAAGCAACATTAAGCCTGGTCAGTACCTAGATGAGTGACCACTTGAGAATATGAGGTGCTGTAAACTTGTTCCAATCCCAGTTGGTTTTGTTATATTCACTTACGTGCTAATACTAATGGGAAAGTTATGAATCCATTACTTCTCCCCTATCTTCTAATTAATTAGTAATACTTACATTACTAAATCATTATCTCAAAAAGAAAATTCTTACCATCTAAAAATATTTTTTGACTTTAAATAACCTGCAAAGCCATAGAATATGAATCAATAAAACATATTTTGACTTATAAAGATATTTGTAAACTGAAGATGTATGTTTACATAACTTGAATAAATATACTACTGCTTTTTGCATGTGACTAAAATTGTTTCAGCTTCTATAAGGTTTTATTAATCTGGAATTCAATTTAAAAATTTATATATATATATATATATATATATATATATATATATATATAATAAACTGTTACTTTGGAATAAGCAAGGTACTACGACAAAAATGCATATTTTTTTCAATGTCTTATTTAGTCATCAGTTGGTTAACATTGGTGGTAATAAATGATTTTATTTAAAAATACAACTTCTGAAATATCAGTTTGTTTTACACTTTTGAAAATTTTCCATAGAAGGCAAAGAAACAACTATATAAAAAATTTTCCATAAAATGGAAAGAAAGAAAAAAAAAAAAAATATATAGGAGACAAAAAAAAAACAACTGCTTATAATTCAATAAATAACATCATTGCTTAGTCTGACCTACTTCCCTGCAGTCTTTAGGATTTCTCTCCTGTTTAGTGCCATAGAAATGATCTGTGTGTATTCATTTCTTTTTATCCTGTATTTTTTTTTTTAAATTTTAAAACTACTCTTGTTGAAAATGTTAAAAATTTACTTGGAAAAGTCAGTAAAAATAATGACTTGGTGACATAATGGCAAAGAATAATTTAATGTTGGCTCTTTTCTATGCTGTTGCACTTAGGATCTTTGTTGCTCTCAAATTCCAATTTCTGTTAGACAAATAATAGATGTGTATTAACATTCCTAGAGACAACAACTACATTCATAATTTTCAGGATAATCTTATCATAAGTAAATATAAAAAAATCATTTTGGCAGAGTGGGGGGGTGTCTAATATGGAGAATAATTGGAAAGCCATAGCCTTTTTATTGACATAAAAACTGGGGGAAAATGGTGAATGTTTTGGTTTCACTTGCAGGAGGCAGCAGTACAGACTGCTGAGTCAGGTTTGTCAATATGAAACTGAAAAATGAACAAACATTCCTTTCTACTTCTCTCTATATATATGAACAGATTTGAAGAGATTAATAAGCTTTTATTTAATCATGTATTAATTTAATTGGATTAAGAGGTGCATGCAATTTTCTTGCCACCCTGAAAGAATACAGAATAGGATAAGCCTGTCCTCTTCAATTTACAAGCAGCTTTGTCTTGCACATTAAAGGCTATGAGGAGCTATAGTAATGATTAACATAGTGATATTGGAAATTATTTTGATTATATCCTATTCTTTCATTTCATTACATTAAAACTCTATTTTATCAGTCAAAGAGCAAATATTTGCAAGTTCTTGAAAGAACAAAATAATTTTAAATTAGCCTCACTCAAAGTACACATTCTTAGTTGTAAAAAATTGATGAGGCTCATGTTATATAATTATCAGAAGATTTTCTTTTTTTTTTTTTTTTTTTTTTATAGGTATTTTGTAGCTCCCCTCACTATCTCCAGTTTTACTCACCGAATAGTATATTCAAGTAGTTTAAGGAAGTAAGGTGTTACTTAAGCAGGTGTTACTGTAGCAGGAATTTTGTTTCCTATCAGCATCCCAACTGCATAAATAGCTTCTCTCAAAATGTTAATTTAATTTTGAAACACTGGACTTGTCTTACTTTGGGGAAACTATTCAGGTTGTCTCGGCTGCTTCTGTCTTTTGAAAGTACATTATATGTGTAGGTGGGCTGTCATTGTATTTGTCAATAACTCACTAGAATTAGAATTTCAGATATGAATGAGCATATAATTATATATTTACTTTTCTCTGTATGAGGCTGTGAAGTTGACAGTCACCATGCAGTGTTGATTCCTTTGTACTCACTCTCTATTCTATTATAATTGTGTTTGTCCCTCCCTTTGTTAATTTGTACGATCGTTATGCTTTGCCAGTACCTCATAAATAATGGGTTATTCTATTTTGATTGCATGGAAAGAGGGGGAAAAAAACACTACTTGGTTTCAGTGGGTAAAATGAAGGAAAGATAGAAGTGGAGAGAGATACTACATTTTGATCTTTGCCAAAAGGCCAAAATGTGAGGGCAACTGCAATAAAAATGTCATTTTTCAAAACACACAATATTGAATGATGGAAACTGAGTGAGATAATTGACAGAAATCCAGTTACCATAAATAAAATATCATCTGTTGAATTTTTACATTATTATTATGATAAAGGTTTGTATGACGGGGATTTGTTTAGTATCTATAAGTATACCATTTCACATTTTTAATACTCTTCCCCTATAATTATAACAAATTTTAAACACACATATTTCTCAAAATAGTTTTGTTGAATTCAGCTGACAAAAATCTGCTTTTCATTTTTTATTGTATTTTCCAAGTTTTGAACAAGATATTTTACAGTGGAATCACAATTTTGGATAAAAGATTCAAAGTTCTCTTGTTTTTGTTAAAGACACTTGATTCTGTATTAGAAAATGAATGTATCTTTGATCTCCTATGTCCTTTTACAAATGATAGAAGAAAATAAGAATTAAAATTATCTCACAAAATTGTTAAAAGAATTTTGTCAGACGATCAATTTTTGCAATATCACTATTGTCTACAATACTATTGCCAGTATTATTTTTTTATTTTTCAGTATCAGTACTCCAATATCTCAAGCAAAAATTATTAAAAGTCAAATGTAAGATTTTTTTTTTTTTTTTTTTAGCTTGAAGCCAAATTATAAAATTTATGTTAAAAAATGCAGTTGTCTTCAAATTTATGTATAAATGTTCATTTTTACCACTCATTTGCAAAATGCCAATTTTTCTGGTGCCTTTTTTGATATTATTGGCACAAGCATGATATTACCAGTTTAATGTATCTTTGCTATATGGTCTATAACTTCGAGACAGAATGATCACCGACTGTGTAAATGACTAAATATAAATAAGTTTCTTTTGAATTACCTTTTTTAATTTGCTTAATTATCATAAATGATGAGAAAAAAATTAGCCAATTTTTAAAGCAATAGGTTTTTCTTAAAAAAATATTTTTGTTGAAAGGTGTAAAAAGATTAATCATTTCAATTGAATAGTGAGCCTATTTTGACCTAAAATATCTCACAAATAAATGTGCAAGTATTTATAATTACTCAGTCCTAAGAAAAACACTTTTAGTCATTTTGTAACTAATAATGATAAAACTGCAACATTAACAATAATTAGAGTTTGATGTTCATTATTATTTTCCACAGACTGACTTCAAGAGAAAATTAGTAGAGTCTGGATGAAATAGTTCAAAGCAACTTTCACTTGAAATATCACCTTTTTCTTGTTGATACTATCTTGAAAATGTAAATGTTGCCTATGTTTATTATTATTATTATCATCATCATCATCTTTGACTGTTCTGGAAATATTGATATTTATATAAACTTTGTTTAGTTTAACATCATATCAACTTCTAGTTCATTTAATGCTGAAATTTAATTTTCTTGGAAGCTTCGAAGTAATAAAAATATGTTATTCTGCTTTCACAATTGAATACATGGTAGATGATACTCAGCTTTTGTGTAGATACATGTTTGTGTGGTCATGATTACTAGAGGCAGTGATATATGTGTTTTGGAATACAGTTTGATTTCATTAAGAAATTGTAGGATATTATATGGATTGATGTCATGAAAGAGTTCTTTCATGTTGATTGTTTATTTAGCAGCATATTGACCTCTATGGATTATTTAATGTCGAAATCTAAATATTTTGAACATAATTTTATGGCTTCAACTACAGATAAAATGTATTGTTGGTAATTATGCTTTAAAAATGTATTGTTGGTAATTTTACTATAAATATATGTCATTGGTAATTTTTTATATAAAAATGTATTGCTGGTATTTTTACTATAAAACTTTTTTATACTTTCATAGTGTTTTGTTTGGGGTTTCACTATTTGCCCATAGCTGGGTTACCACAGGTGCTACCACCTTGGGTCAGAATGAGCCTGGGAACAACAGCAATTAAGAGGTGCTTCCATACTCATCAAAACCACCAATCTCCAAATCAGAGACCTTGCTGCCAGATGTAGTTTATTGTCATATCCAGGACTTAAAGTTATTTTTAAATGTACAAAGAAACATTTTAAATTTACTTAACACACAGTATAATTGATATAGATTATAACTTGTTTGCAAAAATTGGTTCTTCATTCATTGAAGAAAAACTGAAGGTTTTTTTGTCTCTATATTCTTGTAGTGTTTTGTCATGACTTTTTCAGAACTATTGACACATTTTCAATTGATTTCTTTTTTTTTCTCTATCTATAACAGCTATATGTATTACTAACATTCTCATCTTCATACAAAACAAACTACAAAATGTTTAATATTCAAATATAAATAATGATGCAAAGATTATTATTGTTAGTGAATTTCTAAGAACTGTGTCAATATATTAATGTCTAAACTGATGTGGGAAAAAGTAATTATTTTACTTAAGATATTCAATTCCTTCATAATTCAGTTAATTTACTGATGAATATTAATCACATAGATTGGACATTATACAGTAAAAATTTCAGATCAAAATTTAACTTACTGCTCTATCCTAGTGTGTGTATACTAATGTTTAAAATTTATAATCTACTAATTTGTGTTATTTTGAAAGTATAATCAGAACAAAAAGATTTTTAATTTATTTTTGGTACCAAAAGGTGTAAAGAAATTGTTATTCATGGTGAATATGATATCTGATTAATTTCTTACACGTGAAGGAATTTCTTAACTATAAACTTTTTATTCTTAACTTAAAAAGCTGAATCCGCC